AACTTGGCTTTATGTAACTGCTTAATCCTAATTCAGTTTATTGAGCTGATTCAAGACAGCTTTTTTATAATATGCCCTGCTTTATAAAACACCTCTCTGTAGGATTCCTACTGCTACAGTTTCCTTACAAAACAAACACAATCCGCAGCATGGCACAGGCATGAACAGAGAGGATGTGACTGTGATTAATCTCTGTGAGAGGGGACGATGCAGAAGACAGAATGGTAAATGCGTTCTTGTTGTTCACTCAGGTGCAGATTTATGTGTGAAGAGCCACACATAAATGTGGAACTCAACTCGTGGGCCGGGTATCATCTTCCTGTTCAACATTACAAGGTACAAAAATATGGCGTCTGTATTTTAAATGAACACATGTTCCAATAAACCCTCATGTCAACTCTCTCTCTCTCTCTCACTCACTCACTCACACACACACATTTCATACGAAATAAATAGCAATCTGTACAACACTCTCAAGGGGGCAGAAAACTCAAGTTATACAAAGTACACAAAACACATCAACACAAATATCTACTTACATCATGTAAACAACCAACAAAATGCTTAGCCCTGTCATGTTAAAATTACATAAAAACCACAAACCATGAAATGTAAATTGCACAAGGATTCCAGGATTAATCAAGCTTAATCAGATCTAGACACAATCCACATATGAGGCATTTTATAATGGTGTAAAGATGGTCAGTGTTCCGGGACGTCACATTTCTGTGGTAAACTCTCCACTGTCAGATTAACAGTCTTAAACCCTTATGACAGAATCATAAAGCAGCACTCAAAGGATGATCGCCCGTATGAGCCCATGATCAGAAAAACATGATCCAACCTGTATTGTCACGGCAGCCGGTCCTTCCTGGTATGCTTATCATCTCCCACCCAACAAAATGAATACCTAAGTTCTTTGTCAAACAAAGTGTAATAGAAGGCAAAGGCAGTCTGCAGCAAAGTCAAGCTGTCCTGATGAAAGACTACAGCATCTTCTTTTCTGTCTTTCTCCTTGGACAGCCTTTATGGGAAGACTTTGACCTTTTAACGATGCCAATAATGTTACACCCTCTTGTGAATGACGACATTATTTAAAGGCAATTCTGCTTTTGAGAATGTTTAGCATTTTATCATTTTAATCTTGTACTCAATTAAATCATTAATGAGATGTTGAAAAGTGGCAATGAAGCAAAAACTACTTTTAGATGATCAGACAGGCTGTTAACAAACCAAAAGTCTAACCACATTATATAAACCACATTGGATGTAAAACTGAAAACAAAAACATTCCTGATTCGACAGGAAATCTGAATCAGAACTATAGGTGAATTTTGCTTGGGCCTAAATTTGAGACCAGAACCCAGCCCTTCCCTGCATTTGTCACACCTGACCTGAACCCCACTGGTACTATCAAATTTGAGACCCAAACCTCGTCCCAAGACCTCTACTAAATTTTTTGCTTTACTTCATCCATTGCTGACTGTGAGTTCGCCACTCTAATGCAACACATTGGCTGTCTCTTATGTGTTCCCCATATTTAAATACATTTCATTTGAAAATGACAAGACACAAGCCCCAACCCAACCCAAAATTTGATAATCTGTCAGGACTAGACATGTTCAGGTCAGGTACCAGAACTTGAAGTAGAAAAGTTTAGGTCATAATTTAACTGTGCATCTTCATTTCCTCTTCTAAATATGTTAACCTGGGGCCTGTTTAAACCCCGTGTGATCATCTGACTTCTTGCCCTGTCAGCCTTCTTTTGAGCAATATTGTTGCTTTATTACTATTATTAGTAATAATAATTATCCCCTTTCTTTTTTCCCTTTTTTCACAAAATAAGGTACTTGAGAGGTCAATGTGCCCCTCTAGTCAGTCCAAGTGCCATTCAGGTTGACCCAAATATGCTCAAGTGCTGCCCTGGTGTGATCTTTGGGGGATGGGGGGGGGGGTAATTTTAACCATGTTTGAAGTCATTTCCATTCTTCATTTTTGGACTTGATGTAGCATATCATATAGGGCATTTGAGTCACTTGAGTGCCCCTGTAGGCAGCCCAGGTTCCCTTGCATCCCTTCAGTTAGTGGGACATTAGGACAGAACCCTGACCCTAAGGAAGAGATGCCCCTGTTTCATTTCCATCTCAGCCCTTAAGAGAGCCCGTGCACACCAATGTTTTCCTATTTTCTCTGGTGTTTCAGTGGAGATTTAGGGTTTTGTTATTCTAGTCAGGAATAAACAATTAGGGAAAATGAATATCTGGCATTCAAGGGGTCAAATGTAAAGACACTGAATATCAGTTATTGGCAGGTTCAATCCACATGTATCATTAGGGCTTTCAGATATCTGTATATGTTGACCTCTAAATGTTAAGCCCTCTTCCACCTCTAACCTTTGAATAATCTAAAACAATACGATGGTTGTGCAAATACAGCTCAATAGAAGGATGTGGCTACCAGGAGGTGAGATAGCATACATCCCAGAGAAAGTCTGAAGGGT